ACTAAGTCATCTATGCTTCTTTCTATTGTTTGGATCAAGTACAACTAATACTAATCTACCTTTATGTATGTTTTACTCCCTTTTAACCCATTATCTTTATGAATGGCAAATCATATGACGTGAGACACGTACAAGCTGGAACTCAAAGAATTACTTCGAACAGGATGTCAAACAAATTCAGGACCAATCCAAATGAGACCAGAAATCAACAAAGCATCGGGGAGTTATATATTCTGGGAGAGGTATTTGATAAATAATCAAAAAGTGGTAAGTTAAAATCAGAGCCAAGGATCATGAGAGGTAATTGTCAATAATTCATTAATTAGTAGAAATCTCGATAACTTTTTCAAGGGAGCGTATCGGCTTTGTAGGCGGTGCGTTTGGTCGTCGATTTGGCGTAACTGGTGGCTCGCCCGCGCGTGCTGGCACTATCATCAGATAGGGGAAATTTTCCTCTACCTGCTGGTGGTGTTGATAAGCGTGTGCGAGATGCCGGTTGCGCCGGATCGACGATCGGATGCATTGTTTGCAGGAGCTGGTGCTTCCCTTTGAAAAAGTAATCGAGAAATAACCATATTATCCTGTAATTGATATTACTATTTTTATATATCAATGAAATTAGTCATGACAGAGTAACAGATGGGGAAGGACAATAGACACAAGTTGACACAATAAACAAGACAAGTGGGGGTTAATACACAAGACAAAATGACAAAATAAGTGACGACAGAAGACAAGACTGGGATGAAAATCAACCTTTTAAAAAAACAAGAATGCAATTATATTATCAAAACTATTTGGATCAGCACAAAAACAACAGTGACCAAACGGGCACCATAGCCTAGGAACGTCTGTGTGTTGATTTAAAATAGAGGCTCATAGAAGCAAAATTTATCAATAAAAGGGGTCCAGTGTAGAGTTTTAGCAAGTTGCTGCCACTGGATCACTACAAAAAAAAAAAAAAAAATATCTGTTTGTTAGCTGATATCTCAGCAAAATCATATTTGTTTGCTGAGTCTCGGCAATTGTTTTACTGAATCTCAGCAAAATAAATTGCAGAAATACTAGGCTGTTGGAATCTCGGCGAAAAAAATTAAGTGTGTAAACTGGTGGTGTTGAGCAGGCATGGAAAATCATTTGCTTTCATTTCATACATTCTTTTACATTCATTTGCCTCTAACTTTTTTCATCAACAGTATTCCGCAAAATGATGTATAGAATTTTAGTAGGTTTTGTTATTAACTACAACTTTTGTTCATAACTCAAATCTGTATCTCTTATGCATCACGAACTAGAGCGGGCAGAACTTGTTACTATTTTTGAGTGATTGTAAAATACATTCACTGGAAAACAGTAGTGGCTTCTGTTCGCTCTGGTTCGTCATGCATAAGAGATACGAATTTAACTTGCAAACAAAAGTTGTTGCTAATAACAAAACCTACATAAGCTCTATATATCATTTCGCGGAATGCTGTTCAAGAAAAAAGTTAGAGGCAAATGAATGTAAATGAATGCACGAAATGAATGCAAATGATTTTCCATGCCTGGTGTTGAGTACTTGGCACTGATGAAGTCTGCAAGTAGTAGACGAAATACGCGTATCTGTTAAAAGATAAGCAATTATAACGGAATTAAAAGGAAATAAACCAACACACTCAAAGCTCTTCAGAGGTTCGGCAAATTTAGAAGACTTAAACTAGCTAAGCAACATGCCTACTTATTTTCATACACACTTAGTTTTTTTCTACCGAGCTCGGCTGTGCAAATCTCGGCAAAAAATATTTTACTGAGATTCAGCTAAGCATTATCCCGAGGGGCACGCAATACAAAGAACCGGTGCGTTGAAGTTAAAATGCAATCAAAAGTACTTAATGTAATTAATGCGTTTTGAAGTAGTACTGACGATAATTAAAATTATCTATCCGTAACTAATGTACAGTACTTTTATACTGAAAAAGTAATTAATGTACTTTGATTACGAAATTTCGACTGTAATTAATGGAGTTAAAAAGTAGTTAATGTTCTACATTGTGTAATTAATGTAAGTAAAGCAGTAGTTAATGGAATTAATTTAATTACAGCCGTTGCCTGCTGCCGTTGGAGTTAAAGTTTATTGCGTGCCCCTAGCATTATCCAAGACTCAGCAATCAAATGTCTCTTTTGCTGAAATCTCAGTGAAACTTATTTTTGCCGAGATTTGCACCGCCAAGCTCGGTAGAAAAAACTAAGTGTGTAGAAAAGTATACACTGGAGTCGCTTTTTACACGGGGGATACGTGCCGCGTAAAAAAAAAAAACTACCGAGATTTTGATTTTTCATATGCTTAAATTTTTTTTTTATAAATCGGATTTTGATGCCATTCGTAATTATAGCAAGCTATGGTCCATATAGACATATTTAAAAAATTTATGTTTTTACACCAAAAATTGTGATTTTTTTTAAAGTATGCCATTCGATTACCTATAGCTTGAAACGGATAATGTGATTGGAATCAAGTCGATAGGTAATATCGTTGTCGAGAAATCGTTAAAAACGTACCGCGTAAATTGCGACTCAGCGGCACTACCGTGTAAAAAAAACGTGTAAAAAACGTACCGCGTAAAAAAAGACTTCAGTGTATTTCTTTCTTTTGAATTTATTTTTTCAGTGTAGACATAAATAAGTAATTGTTTATTAAGACAGTTGAGCCTTGCCAAATAAACAAATTGAAATGTCACTCTTGAAAAAAAAAAATTAATATAATTTCTTGCGTTGATCGATTCTCTTCATCGATTTTCTCTTCGCATAACGACACCGACAAACTGACATAACACTTAATTCTGAATTATGCCCGAAAATCGTAAACGGCCGATTTAAATGTGCAGTGATCCGAACTGTCAAAACCATAGGATTTTTTATCTAGATAAAAATAATTTGTCCGGAATAGATCAGACACGAACCAATTCATAACTTTTGCATGCGGGTTCATGGAATAGCTCAAAATTTCCCGCGAACACGGAGCCAGATGTCAGTAGTGTGCTTTGATCAGAAATTTTATTGTTTTGCTATGGTTATTCATGTCGGTTTGTCGGTGACCACACTTCAATAAAACAATTGAACTTGAACTGCAATTCACTCATTGACCAAATTTATGTAAGTCTCATATTTTTTTTCAGCAAGTATATTTCTTTAATAATAAAAAAAATCGATACAAGATCAGTCAAATTACAGTCTAGATTTTTTTGTATGCACAGTTGCTTATGTAGAAAAAGACTACATATCCACAAAGTTGCATAGGAATGCTGCTACCTCTGGCCGAGTTGACGTGAAATTGGTCGTACAGGAAGTGGCGAAGCTTTCTGTGTTGCAAATTTAGCACGAAAAATATTGACTTTATTCATTCCTAATTTTATCCATTTCCTTATTCTGTCCAAGGGGTGCAAGATGTGCTCTCGAGTAATTTTCTTATATGGACATTATAGGGTTTATGTCCCTAATGGCGGCATAAGATTGCCTAATATTAGGCCTATACAAAAATTACGAATATGCATGTTTCCATTTCATCCATTTTTCATTAGCAACAAATAATAATATGACTTTTAGTTAACATTTAACTATTTATTTAGTCAAAAAAAAATAGTTTCCTATGCACAAATAAAAAAAAACGAGCAGAAAAATTTAAAAAATGTTTACTGAAAGTTGATGTTCTACGATTTTTGTAAATTTGAACCATTATGTGCGTGAGATTTTAATTTTTTTTTTCTACACCATATTATTTAAATGGAAGCTGGGTACCGTGACAAGCCCTATTACCGTGGAGTAAGAACGCTTGAAGTTTAAATAAGTTAGCAAAAAATGAATTCGCAGTGATTTATCTTTCAATATTTTTACATCATAAAAAAATGGTAATGGTTAAACATATCATGTCATAATATCGTTTCATATATGTCAATCAACCATTAAATCAGGCATAACATTTGATAACGGCACAAAAGCATTTGTAAACAAACTTTCTAAGGCCCTTTACACGCGAACCAAAGTACGCACACGCAAACCAATACCACTTTCGGAAAGGTGATAGTTGCCCCTAGCCGATGATGTTGCTGGTTTGCGTGAGCGTACTTTGGTTCGCGTGTAAAGGGCCTTAGAAAGTTTGTTTACAAATGCTTTTGTGCCGTTATCAAATGTTATGCCTGAAATAGTCATTACTTATTAAAGCTTCTCAGTGTGTTCATGATTTTCGTCAATTTTTAATTGTTTTTTATTTAAAACTATTAAAAAAAAAACAATTAGCATACTATTGATTTAAAGCAAAAACTTTTTTTTAATGCATTCGAGAATTTTAGGTTTTTCAAAAATACATTTTTGCATCTCAAAACAACGAGAAACTGGGCTTTGAAAGGTGAAAGACGCGCGGTGCATCATGAATAGAACCTCTGTTTCTAACGTTGCCCAGAGTCTTGTTCAATTGTGGTTTTATTAAACCATTTTACTGCTGCACTCAAACCACGGTATTAGGAACTAAAAAGTACGACAGAGCCCCAAATCCGGGGCCGCATTGCGCATCTCGAAACGAAAAACTTTTTCATACAAGCGTTCGTACAAAAAGTCTTTCGTTTCGAGATGTGCAATGTGCCCCACGTTTTATTCTACCAATATTCTGTTTTGAACATGTGTGTAATCAGTTGTAAAATTTGTTATGTATTAGGAAAGGTGACTCGATATGCTAACGTTTGCGATAATTATTTGGAAAAAAAAATCAATATAGGTACATCGCAAAATATTCAAGTTTATTGTAAAACCCACGGTATTAGGTGCTTCGCGGAATTAGGACAGGTTACGGTACCCGGGTATCCCTCACGCACATAACGGTTAATGTGTCCAATTTCAGCGAAGTTAGCATTTTTGATAAGCATTCAAACGAAACTGAACTTAAAAAAATCTTGATTTTTTTTACAAATGTGTTGAAACCAGTTTCTAAATAGTAATAAAATTAAATAATCGATCTTTATTCTTCACAGGCTCTACATCGTTCATATCGCATTCCAAGTTCTGCTCCTCGCCTTGTTCTGGGCTTTGGCATCGAAGCTTAGCGGACTCTCATTGTTTAGTTGTGTGTTGGTTGTTCCTGTAATGTACTTCTTACTCAGTCTTCTTTAATTTCCTGTGGTAGGTAATGAGAAACAAAAATCTTTTCTACGAGGTTTAGGTCGTTTTTAAGAACTAACTTTGAAGCATTTTTGGTGGATTGAAATATAGTGTGGTAAAGGAGAAGAAAAAACCATATTTTTGATGACTGCCTTTTCCCTGCGCTTTTAAATAAATTATTCGTAAACTAATTATGGTAGGTGAGCCAGTTTTATGAGAGAATTGTAGCTAATAATCAGATATATCTTCTCAAAGTGGGACTTAAGTTCGGCTAAAAATCTGACATTTTGTTTCGCGATACTTTAACAGAAATGTGTCAAATTCTGTACGAAGTATTTCAATTGAATACTACAATTCATGATTTTATAGTGCGACCAAAAACTGGCACATCAAATCATAGTGTGCGCTAATTTGCATTAGCATTCAGTGAGATGGTTTTGACAGTTTCAGTTTGTTTGTTTTTATCACACTTCCGTTTTTCTAAATAGAGTAATGTAAGCTTGTAAAATAACCTCCTACAAGAATAAAACCGTTTAGAAAAAAGCCAGAATTAGCTGGATCTTCAGGTGAGATTGTGTTCGGAGCTCACTGATCTGGAAAGAAAACATTTTCCGTGTTACAGATGAAATGAAGACAATGCTGATCGTGATGAGGTTTCGCTCTACGTCGTTATGCTGCCGTTCAGCACAGGATATCACTGAGAAGTTCAAGTCACTGGGAATCACTCTGCACATTGAACTGCGTGCTACCAGTGGTAGCCACCCAATCCCATCCCTGTGGTCATCGTTTGCTTGCCCTTTACCAGATACGTAATGTTTTGGGTTACAATCCTGGATTGAAATCTCGAGGACAATGCTGTTATTAAATAAAGGGTAAAATTTCCCAAAAATTTTTTAAGCCCAAAAAAAATGATTTTTTGAAAGTTACAGAGTGTAGAAGTCGCCCCCTCGGGTGTGTAATATATCTAGATAACATTAACGATTGTTAACGAAACAACCATTGTATTTCCGGTAATTCAACAACTTCTTTTATATGTTCGACTTCAATGTATCAGCTGTCGTGTTTCGTCATCGGTTACTTGGCCTTTTCCGTACCGTTGACCGTAACTATTTAGTTTAAGTTTTATTCATTTAGACAATAATTGTCAGTTGAATTTTTCAATATACAAATAAACAAATAATAATAGGTAAGAATAAAGAGTAAACCATACCGCGTGTGTTTCACTACATATCCCCGAGTGCCCCGAATATATCAATTGTGGCGACGAGGATGTAGGATTGGAAGTGTATTTAATTGAAGAGACCACGTGTTGAGTTAAACTGGATGTAACGGAATTAAGAACAGTGCTACCGTTTGTTAGTGCAAGTGAGTCGTGAATAATATCATCAGCGTACAATAGCGTATCGAGATTAGAAGGCCACGTGTTGTGTAAAAGTATTTTTTGTATATATAATGCGTTTATTTTTCCAGGCGCATTTGTCGTAGCTTTGCGGATCCGATATTCATTGTTTAGATTACAAAATTACTTAAAACTAACGTTAGTAAAGCGGGTTAGGGTTAGGGTTAACAAATTGTAACAAATGGATGGCAGGGTAGGGATTGAAAACACAAGGTTTGGAGCGCAATGTGCTCTTGATCTCAGACTAAGCGACATATTGATGAAAAAGATAGACATGGGGGTACACAGATGGGGAACTAACAACTTGGGAGAACACAAGATGACACTAACTACTAAATCCTCAGATCGATCCGTTTTGAAAACAAATAAATTAAATTCCAATAGTCGAGATCTCGGCTCGCCAAGATGTCTCTAATGGGCCGCTGAGGGATGCGAATAACTCGGATCTAGCAACACAATGGAGGGTGCATAACCAAAGCACATGGTCGATCTCGTGATAACCACTACCACAAGCACACAAATTGTTGCCTGCGAGCCCATTTCGAAAGAAATGCGAATCTAACAAGCAGTGATTGGACATGAGCGTCGACATTTCACGTATAAAGTCACGGCTCATGTCCGACCCTTTGAAGCACGGCTTGTTCGACACTTGTGGGAGAATAGAATGTAACCATCTTCCCAGCTCACTCTCATTCCATTTTTGTTGCCAGTTGATGAGGACTTGCTGACGGGTAATTGAGAAAAATTCAGCAAAGGCGATTTGTTGATCAAAAATATCGCCTTCCATAGCGCCCACTTTATCCAACGAGTCCGCTTTCTCGTTACGCGGAATAGAGCAATGAGATGGGACCCAGACTAAAGTGATGGTATAGGAGCAGTTACATAAAGTACTCAATTTGGCTCGGATTTCGGTCAGGAAATACGAGGAGTGCTTCATCGGCCTCATTAAACGAATAGCCGCCGATGAGCTAAGACTATCCGAAAAAATGAAATAATAGTCAAAAGGTAGTGAGGCAATTTGCTCTACTGCGTAGCATATGGCTGCTAGTTCCGCAACATACACGGAACAGGGTTTTTGCAGTTGATATGAGGCGCTATGAAATTCGTTGAATACTCCAAATCCAGTAGAAGCGTTTATAGTTGACCCATCTGTGAAAAAACTCCTATTGTTACTGACATGGTGGTACCATAGAGGTAACTCTAAGACTAGAAGGTCCCGAAATAACGTGCTCAACTTTTTGGCTCAGCTCTGGTACTCTTTTCGGTCCCAAGCTAATCGATTCACCCCTCGAAACATAAGAAAAACCAATAACCCCTCATTTTATCTGTCAAACTTTCATAGCGAATCAAAACAAACATTGCTTAGTACTAGAATTTCGACTAGAATGGGGTACGTTAATCGTTTGCTTGGGACCAATAAGCTAGTCAAGTAGTGAGCCAATTTAAAATCGTTAGTTTCGTATTGATTGTTGGTGGTACTTGTTTGCAAAAATTAAGGGAACAACCGATGGTGATCTGGTATTCCACGGATTTCTTGCAACATGGTCAGATCAAAATTTACAGAGGAGAGGCTTATCTCTACCGTCATGTACTCGTAATAGAGACTCATGAATCTTGTTTGAGGATTCCTGTCGAGCAGAGTGCAGTGTGTTTTTGCTGCGGATTGAAAGCAGAAGCTACCGTACTCTAGAACCGACAAGATGGTTGTTCGGTACAACCTAATCAGATCTTCCAGGTGTGCTCCCCACCAAGTTCTGGTCATTGTACGAAGAAAATTGATTCTTTGTTGGAATTTTTGTTTCACAAACGCAATATGTTTTCCTCTCGTGCTTTTGGAATCGAACTAGACATCTAAATAATTGAAAGATATACTTTGAGTGGTTGCTCTACGCTTTAGTTGAAGCTGTTACTGTGCAGGATTTTGCTTCTTAGAAAAAAACAACCAACTCAGTTTTGTACGGGTAGAATTCGATACCCAGCTTCATAGCCCAAGTAGACAAATTGTCTAATGTATCTTGCAATGGTCCTTGCAGGCCCGGTGCACTTGGTCCTATAACGGACACAACTCCGTCATCTGCAAGCTGCAGTAGCGAGCAATTTTCATCAAGACAACCATCAATGTCTTTTACATAAAAAAAATATAAAGAAGGGGGCTTAAACATGAGCCCTGGGGGGAGACCCATGTAACTGATTCGTAAATTTGTCGAGTTTCCATGAGAAAAGCTCATATATTTCTCAGACAACAAGTTGCTCAAATAGTTGTTCATAATTGGTGAAAGCTCACTATCGTGGAGTTTATCCGGAAGGACATCGATACAAACAGAACCAAAGGGCCCTTAATGTCCAAGAAAACTGAACCCATTTGCTGTTTTTGCGCATAGGCCAGTTGAATTTCAGTTGAAAGCAACGCAAGACAGTCGCTCGTTCCTTTGCCTCCTCGAAATACAAATTACGTATCTGAAAGTAAACCATTCGTTCGACCCATTTGTCTAGACGAAAAAGAATCATTTTCTCCAACAATTTCCGTATACAGGACAGCATCGCGATGGGACGGTACGAGTTATAATCCGACGCGGTTTTACCGGGTTTTTCAAATGGCGATATCTCTTACTTGCCTCCAGTCATCCGGAACCGAGATGTTTTTATGACAGGTGGGCAGGAACTCACGGTTTCCCAGTGTTGGTGAGTTCTTTGCCGTTAATGTTCACGAAAAGTTCACTATTTTGCCCTACAGAAATTCAAAACAAAAATTTGTATGGGCGGATTTGGATGGTTTTTTACCTGTTTCATACGAGCGGAAGGTGTATGCTGGTCACAAATGCCTCGCTAATAAACACGAGGAGCATTTCTTATAGCAAAACTTGCCATAACAAAATGGGCATAGTTCATTTTAGTAAACAAACTAATACTTCTTCCTTGTGTGTCACCTTTCATGAAGCTCCTAGATCCGGAACAATGTTGTGCTCCAGAAATTAATTGATTAAATTCAACAAGCGTCTCTTCGCGACGTCTAGGAGATTTTTGAGCAAGTTGAACTTGATTCTATCCATTCCTGGAGCTGAATTGTTACACGAGAGAAGAACAACTGAGAATTCCACCATCGAAAACGGATTTTCTACTACCCGACGAACGATCACGAACGTTGGTTTGAACCGACACCGAAACCGGGAAAACTTTCCACGCGAAGCTGAATATCCAACTGTCTTCGTCAACCTTGGAAGTCTTTCGAGATGAACCATGGTAATAGAAATTTTGATTGGCAAATGATCACTACCGTAGGGATCTTGGATTACCTTCCACGAGCAATCCAACGATAGTGAACTCGAACAAAGTGAGAGGTCTAATCTGCTTACTTTTGCTGGACGTTTGACTACTCGTGTTGCTTCCCCGGTGTTCAGAATTGTCATTTTGAAGAAGTCGCACATGTCGTATATCAAGCCAAGGTTGAGCGGTTGTCGTCGTACAGTTCCCCCAGCCTGTACCCTGAGAGTTTAAATCTCGCATGATCAACAGTTCTCGGTGGAAGATATACTGAGGCATTTACCTCGAATGTTAACCTGACATGCAACAACTTCAATGCCTGTCACCGAAGGCAGATCGATTCTGTAAAAGGAATGGAGCTTGTTGATCCCGAGAAGCACCCTTCCATACGAATCTGCGCGGTCAAGACGAATAATGTTGAAATCGTGGAAAGCAAGATCGTTTGCTTCACAAAGGACAA